AAATTATGAAACATATGGGTACTAGATATATTAAATTTACATATAAATAAACAAATTTGCCTTAAAAATCTATATTAATTTGTTTGAATATATTTATTTATTTATTTATTTGCTCATTACTTTAATACAACTCTTGAAAAGTTATAATAAATTTGTGTAAATATTTTAAATTTGTATATTTAAATAAACAAACAACATTTAAATTATGCAGATTTTAATCAAATATAAATTGTGAAACATATGGGTATTAGAAATATCAAATATACATATGAACAAATTTGCTTTAAAAAATCAAAAATTTATTTTATTAGCATACCCTACCTGACTAAAGTATTGTAACAAACACTAACCTGACTTCTAGTTGATTATTTGGTATCAGAAGTGGCTTATATGAAAGGCGAAAAAAAAGGCCTCTAGATGACGCTTATTTCACCAAAATAAAATATGATCATGCCTTGGTTTGTAATTATATAATTAGGACAGTAAGGTCTGACTTTGCTTAGACAAAAGTCTTGTCACTTAACAGAAATAATGTACAGTATAGAAAATAAAACCATGCTGCAGTGGAAAATATATAAATATATGAAATATATGAAATGAATATTGTGAATGACTCTCTTGAGCTTGGAGGACTACATCCATACATCTCTGCAATGACTCAAATTACTAATTAATAAAGTCATCTGGAGTGCCAAAGAAAGCGTTCTTGCAGAAGTTCATCAAAATTATTTGGATTCATCTTCAATGCCTCCTTCATCTGACCCCAGACATGCTTAATAATGTTCATGTCTGCTGACTTGGCTGGCCAATCCTGGAGCACCTAGACCTTCTTTGCTTTCAGGAGCTTTGATATGGAGGCTGAAGTATGAGAAGGAGCGCTATCCTGCTGAAGAATTTGCCCTCTGCTGTGGTTTGTAATGTAATGTGCAGCACAAATGTCTTGATTCCTCAGGCTGTTGATGTTAACATCCACTCTGCAGATCTCTCACACGCCCCCATACTGAATGTAACCCCGAAACCATGATTTTTTTCTTCACCAAACTTGACTGATTTCTGTTAGAATCTTGGGTCCATGCGGGCTTTAGTAGGTCTTCTGCAGTATTTGTGATGATTGGGATGCAGTTCAACAGATGATTCAGCTGAAAAATTGACTTTCTGCCACTTTTCCAAATGATCAACTAGAAGTCAAGTTATTATTTGTTGCTTTTACAACTGAGATCGACGACAAGACTTTTGTCAGGTAGTGTATTTGTCTTTATACATGTATACATCCTAAAATGACAAGACAATAAATTTATTATTAAATGCATCACATAAAGATAAATCATACTATATTGCACATTATAAATACATTTATAAACATATATGCAGAGTTAACCTCCATTTTCAGCATTTATATTTATTTGTCTGTATAATAATATATTTGTGTGTATATATTTTTAGCAATATGAAGTAGTTGTAGTGTACTAAACATTGTTATCATCCTTGTTTATTTGCATATATTATTTAACATTAGTGTTGAATAACTGGTTTAAGTCTCGGCTGGGTCAGTTGGCGTTTCTGTGTGGAGTTTTGCATGTTCTCCCTGTGTTGGCGTGGGCTCCGGGTGCTCCGGTTTCTCCCATAGTCCAAAGACATGAGCTATAGTTGAACTGAACTAAATTGGTCGTAGTGTATGTGTGAATGTGAGAGTGGATGGGTGTTTCCCAGTACTGGCTTGCGGCTGAAAGGGCATCCACTGCATAAAACACATGTTGGATAAGTTGGCGGTTCATTCCGCTGTGGTAACCCCTGATAAATAAGGGACTAAGCTGAAGAAATGTGATTATCTTTGACATTAATGTCTCATGAAAACACAACATGAACAATACTAAAATACACATTAAAGTATATAAACTAATGATTTTAATGGAAATATATGATTATTAAATCTATTAAATATATTATTATAATATTATATCAACACAATCATCTTATTTATAATACATATTATACATTATTGAATTATATAGAACACATTTTACATAATAAATCCATTTGTTGCGATTTTGTAGTGAAACTCGAACATCATGATCTACTGAACTATTAAAATTTGCATATTTTAGTGAATATTTGTACCGCTATATTTATGATATCCTAAAACGCAAACTTGTATGTTCTGATTTCATAACTGTTTCTCATTTGCGTTAATTAAATTGAGCTAATATAATCACGTGTATGCTTAATGTAGGTTATGTGAACGTCGTGTTATTCCTGTGTCAGCTCTACTGATCTCCAATGTAAGTGGAGCAGTATGTTATTTATCTTGACTCAGAAATATTTAGCGCGAGTCATCATCATATCGCACGCCTCCCACACGCATCTGAATATGATGGATGATCAGCATGAGTGTGAATTTAGACAGTGTGGGTGAATATCTGGCATCATCACGCTGTATTTTGATGCACATTATAGAAATATGATAGAGGCCTGTTATCAAGAAACAGCTTAAAACTGTTTAAGGACAGACACTGCAGACAAAACACTGCTATTTTAATGCACATGCTGGTTCTGAGATTTTTATACTTTTTTAAATAAAGTACTTTACTTAGTCTAAGTGGGTAGATTACAATAACCATGCATATTTTCACTTCAGCATCACTTACATACACTTAGATTTACAGCTGAAGTCAGAATAATTAGCCCTCTTGTGAATTTTTCTTCTTTATATTTCTCAAATCATGTTTAACAGATCACGAAATTTTCACAGTATTTCCAATAATTTTTTTTCTTCTAGAGAAAATAAAAGCTGTTTTTGTTTAAAAAAAAAAAAAAACATTTTAAGGTCAATATTATCAGCTCCTGTAATGTTTTACGCATATCTAAAGAACAAACTATCATTAAACATTAATTTGCCAAATTACCCCAACTTGCCTAGTTAACCTAATTAACATATTTAAGCCTTTACATGTCACATTATGCTGAATACTAGCATCTTAAAAATATATAGTAAAATATTAAGTACTGTCAACATGGCGAAGATAAAAGAAATCAGTTATTAGAAATGAGTTGTTAAAACTATTATGTTTAGAAATGTTTATATATATATATATATATATATATATATATATATATATTTATACACACACAACCAGAGTTCATCAAGATTCTTTGCTTTCATCTTCAATGCCTCCTCCATCATCTTATCATGCTTATTAATGTTCATGTCTGCTGACTGGGCTGGCCAATCCTGGAGCACTTTGACCTTCTTTGCTTTCAGGAACTTTGATGTGGAGGCTGAGGTATGAGAAGGAGCACTATCCTGCTGAAGAATTTGCCCTCTGTTTGTAATGTTATGGGCAGCACAAATGTCTTGATACTTCAGGCTGTTGATGTTGCCATCCACTCTGCAGATCTCTCACATGCCCCCAAAGTGAATGTAACCCTAAACCATGATTTTTCCTTCTCTAAACTTTTGATTTCTATGAGAATCTTGGGTCCATGTGGGTTCCAGTAGGTCTTCTGCAGTATTTGTGATGATTAAGATGCAGCTCAAGAGATGATTCATCAGAAAAGTCTACTTTCTGCCACTTTTCCAAATGGTCAACTAGAAGTTATTATTTGTTGCTCTTACAACTGGAATCGATGACAAGACTTTTGTCAGGTTGTGAATTTATAGATAGATAGATGTGGTTTCACAACTGCTGGTCACCTGTGTGAAGCACACTCAGAATTGCTTTGTTCAATTCAATTCAGCTTTATTTGTATAGAACTTTTACAATGTAGATTGTGTCGAAGCAGCTTCACATAAATGGTCATAGTAACTGGAACAGTGTAGTTCAGTGTTTTAGTGTTTAAGTTCAGTTCAGTTTAGCTCAGTTCAGTGTGATTTAATCATTACTGAGAGTTCAAACACTGTAGAGCAAATTCATCGATGCGTAGCTCTACCAATCCTGAACCATGCGAGCCAGTGGCGACAGCGGAGAGGGGAAAAAACCTTCACCTGATGGGAGTGAAGAAAAAAAACCTTGAGAGAACCAGACTCAGTTGGGCACGACCATTTTAATTTCTCCGCTGGCCAAAAGTCTTGTGCAGAGCTTCAGCTTCAGTGCAGAACTTTGTCTTCCAGAAACATGGAGGGCTCTATTTTAACGATCTAGGTGCAAAGTCTGAAGCGCAGGGCCAAAAGCATTAAGGCCGTGTACGAATCTGCTTTTGCTATTTTAAGGATGGAAAAATACACACTGTGGCGCATGGTCTAACGGAGTTGGGCTTATTCTCTTAATGAGTTATAGGTGTGTTTTGACAATAAACCAATCAGAGTCTCATCTCTTATTCCCTTTAGGAGTCAGTTGTGTCACACCATATCACATTTGATAAGGAATGAGCTTCCTCCTATAGGCCTAAACTTGCACTTTCTCTTTCCTCGTGGATAAGGAAATATGGTGTACGCACAGACATCCATTAGCCTACATAGTTAATTTGTTTGTTAAGAGCAAAGATTTGTCAAACTATTTCTAAATTCAGTTCTAATTTCCAGCAAACGAATAAATAAACAATAATAATGAAGTGTGTTCAAACAACTGATTTATTTCCAAAACACATGCTGTCCCCCAAATAGTCTAAAACCTGACATGTGGGCAAATCTAAGCTTGTTTTTAATAAAACAAATATAAATATGCATTAATAAATAATACTGATAATAATATTAACATTATACAAAAGCAAATTGTCATGGGCAATTGTTATCGTCTATGGGCGCATATATGAGCGCAAATGCATTTGCTATTTAAACAGTGTGGCGCAAAACGTCAAAATGACACTTGCGTCAAGCTGAAACTAGCAAATAACATTTGCATCGCGCCTTGCGCCGCATTGCGCCTGGTGTATGATAGGGCCTGGAGTGTTTATAAGAAAGTGTCTGGTGCATATGGAGAAGAAAAGGAAACTTTTTTTCTCTAGTTTAAAGATAGATTTTCAGATATGGTTGTATGAGAATATGTGTGTTGTTGTGGTCTGACCTCTATGAGTCTGTCCTGTGGTTTGAGTCCGGCGCGATCAGCGGGCGATCCAGGGTCCAGCGCCCGAATGTACTGACCCGGTTTAGACTTCTCGCTGTGCAGATTGAAGCCGTAACCCGTGTCAGAGCGAACCAGGAAACAGAGCCTCGGGACAAGCTCAGATGGATCCCGCGTCGAGGATTCTGATGAGGGCTGAACATCCTGTCAAAGGAGAAATACAGACATTTATGATATCTTCATACATTTAGAATGCTTTCACGCTGCAATATTTGATGAGCACCCAGGATTGTTTGACATCAGAGTTCAGTTTGTTTGGTTAATGTGAACGCTGTCTTCTGAACTCAGGAGCACACCCACAAACTAGGGATGTAACGGTATTGTAAATACCGTCATACCGCAATATTAATTTTTTTCGATATTACCGTAGTCGCATGACTCGGTAAAACTTTAGGTCTTCTGAAAAAATTTGCTCAGGCGAATGAAGCGAATGGGAGGTACCGGAACCTACAATTCCCATCATCCCTTGCGGTCTGTTGTCGCTACAGATCCAGTAATGCGGAAATGGAGTGTGCTGCTAGAAGCGGGGATCAAAAAGAGCTGAAAAACTCTAAAGCGGGTGTTGTCGCCGCGCGCGTACTGAATAGTGGTGTTGTCGCGCGAGTTCTTATCAGCTGTGTTGTCGTGCGCGTACTGAATAGCCGTGTTGTCGCGCGAGTTCTTATCAGCTGTGTTGTCGCGCGCGTACTGTAAAGCGGGGACGGAGGGTATGTCGCGTCGCGGGGGCACTTTTGATCATTTTGGAAGGGAACTTTCTATCCAAGACTAAAAAGGGCATGTGCACTGCACAGGTTAAGCAATGTGTGTGCACGTGCCTGTAAGTTGGGGAATACGACTAATATCATGGGGACTGCAGAAACACAGCACACTGTTCAGATTGATGCAGACATGAGACCTCTATCTCACTCATGGTTTGTCCTCTCAAGTGGGGGAAAGACAATGCACAACGTTACCCACTGCTGTCAACCTGGGCCAAGTCATGTTTCTGTCCCAGAAACCTCAGTCCCAAATGAGAGGGTTTTTTCTGTTGCAGGGGACATTGTAAATACCCAGAGATACCAGCTTTTACCAGATTATATTTATATGATAATTTTCCTTTAAACCCATCTCTATCTAAGTGAGTGAGTGATTAAATGTTGAATGTGATGAGTTTTCAACACTACTAAATTGAAACTTAATTTTTTTACATGGTTTAATATTTTTTTGTTATTAAAATTGAAGTTCCTGTTTCAAAGCTTACAGATAGATGACTAATTTGTATGTCATTGACACTTTTGGCACTTTTTTGGAGTATTTTCATAAGTTTTGTTTTTTCCTGTAAATGATTCAATAAATACCATACCGTGACATTCATACCGAGGTATTACCGTACCGTGAAATTCTGATACCGTTACATCCCTACCACAAACTATACCCGCGTCTGTTTGAAAAGTGCATTATGGTTTACTTCAGATGTGAACATGATCCATCGAATCATTGAAGTAGGGATGGGTATCGTTAAGGTTTTATACGTATTACTACTTTTTTTGATAGCACTTATCGGTTTGGTACTTTAACAGTTCTCTAATCGGTACTTTTTGCAGTAAAAAAAAAAAACACAAAAAAACTAATTGAACAGAATTAACAACACTTAATTTATTATTACATTTTTAAAAGTAAAATAAAATGAAACCAATAACTGTAAAACATAAATACATTTTTTCCTGTAAAAAAAAATAGCACAATGATTTAAAGGAAAATGACTAAACATGTTTGTCTTTTCTGGCAGAATTCGGGATCTACCTTGATTTATTGTGTTCCCTGCAGTTAAAAATGGCCTCTTTGATTTGCAAAATGCAGTTAAACGATATAATGTTTTTGATTTTTTATTAACACATTCATATAAATGAGTAAACAGTGTTTCATTACTTTTCATTGCAGTTATTGCACGTTTGAAAGATACATTCACTTGCTTGTGTTGGTCACCTGAGAGGGGCACCTCAGCCAATGAGGGCAGAGTGGCAGAGGCTCTAGCCACCGAGCCACACCCCTGTGCAAGGCCCTGGCTGGGAATCTCAATTCATTTCAATTTAAAGTGACAGTCACCAAAACGTAACTATTTGAATCAAAGCTAACACGGTCAGTCAAAGAGTTAACCACGAGTATATCTGATAATGAAGCTGATCATAAGAGATCTGGAGAACCTGGAACAGCGTCCCTGGATCTGGATTGCATGATACAGAAGCAACACGAGTTAAGTCAGTCACAGAACATGACGTAGGAGCTAACTTCTTGAAGATTAGACAGAGTTTTCACTTGGAAGTGAACTGAAATGGCACTTAGAGAGTTGATGTGAGGTCTTTCTCTTTCAGACAAAATAAATCAAAGTGATGCATACAATAATAAAAGAGAAGTAAGGAACCAATTGCAGTCTAACAAAATCGTCTGCAGTCACATATCGACACCTGTCCATCGGCAGTAAGAGTCCCCGGTAACCAGACCAGTTATAGCATCGCACTGTTATTTGTGGGTCATTTGCATCACTCTACTTGCATTGTATTTTCATTACCTCACACAATGAACATTATATATATTGGTCAAAACAAATGACAACTACGGCACAGCAGATAACAGTAAATATATTATTATCATTATTATTATTACTAGTTATTACTGATTAAATTATTTTCTTATTAATTTAAATTTTTTTTTTGTTGTGTTCATCTTGTTTTGTGTTGAAAAATTCCAATCTTCACAAATCTCTTTATTTTTCATAATAAAGTAAGATGAAAAAATAAACAAATTAGAAATTGATAATTAATAATATAATTAATTTCTTGTGGAAAACTTAATGCGGCCCAGCCTTAAGCAAACTCGGCCTCCAGCTGCCCTTGGGTAAATTGACCCCTGTTTTAGGAGGTATATTGAGCTGAAACTTCATGTACACACTCTAGGGACATCAGAGACTTATTTTGCATTTCGTAAAAAGCGGCACAATAGGTCCTCTTTAAGGGCCCTATCATACACCCGGCGCAGTGTGGCGCAGTAGTCTTTTGGTAGTTTCAGCTTGGCGCAAGAGTCGTTTTGAGGCGTTGCGCTATGCTGTTTAAATAGCAAATGCATTAGCGCTCATTTTTGCGCCCATAGGTGTTCTGGTCTAAAAAGGAAGGCGTTCTGAGGTGGACCGCTGGCGCGTTGCTATTTTGAGAAACTATAATAGATTTTACATTAGACCAAAACTAACCCGGTCTAAACTCCGGCGCAGAGTTGCGCCTCGCTTACACACTGCTTAATACACACAAGAGAGCAATAGGCAAATATCTTTACATATGAAAAAATTTAAATATTAAGGATATATATAGTATATAATAAGAATAGATATAGAATATAAATATAAAGGATTAAAATATTACAAAACATAATTTTTTAGCCTAAAAAAATATGAAAAATCACTGCTTTTATGTCGTCTTCATCTCGGGAGGCTTTTTCAGTTCATTCATAACAATTTTCTTTTGTATAATGTTATTATTATTAGCAGTATTATTTAATATATCCATATTTATATTTGTTTTATTAAAAACAAGCTTAGATTTGCCCACCTGTCACGTTTTAGACCATATGGGGCACAGCATGTGTTTTAGGATATAACTCAGGTTTTTGAGCACATTTTGCTATTTTTATTCATTTATTCGTTTGCTGGAAATTAGAACTGAATTTAGAAATAGTTTTGAAATGAATATTTGCGCTTAACAAACAAAAGTATTTATTTATAGATTAATTGATGTCTGTGCGTAAAGGTTTCCCTATCCAAGAGCGAAAGTGAAAGTAGATCGATTATCTCTCATTCTCACGCAGTAGATGCTCTGTTCAACAGTTTTCTGTTAAAAAACTGTTAACTGTTAGCTAGTGAAATGCTCAGTTTTTCCACTTAGACTTACTTTGCGTCCTGTAAATAGCGAATGCGCTCTTGGCGCGACGCAGCTGACTCTTAAAGGGAATGGAAGATGAGACTCTAATTGGTTTATTTTCAAAACACACCTATAACTCATTAAGAAAATAAACTCAACCCTTTTAGACCATGCGCCGCGGCGCAAGGCAGATTTCCCGTCCTTAAATTAGCAAAAACGCGTCCAGACACGCCCTGAAAGCATTTGCGCCCTGCGTTTTGCGCTCTGTCCATGGACCGTCAAAATAGTGCCCTATAAGTGTAATTAGTACCTAAAATGTGTACCTTATGGCATCTAAAATGTACAAAAGTTTTAGCTAGTTTATTGCACAGTTTGTACTTTCTTCGGTTGCACCACTTTCATAAGGCAGAACGTAGTTAGTAGGTCATAAGCTCTCCAGAAAACAATGCACAGATGCACTGAATGACGTGATACCCAATCAGAAGGCTTCGAATTGTTAAATGGGATGAAATTCGAATGAACTAAAACTAAAAAAAAACAAATAGTCATCGAAATCAAAACATTAAACTTACACATGAAAGAGAAAAAGAACAGGTAGAAAAACTCAGTCAGGAAGTTTAATTCTTATTTTAATTGAGATATACACAAACAAAATAAAACATTCCGTATAAAATATGTACTTTTCTGTCACAAATAAAAATAAATAAAATAAAAGCAAAAAACCATGAGCAGAGGGAGATGAGGGAAGTGAGAGTTTGTAGTTCTTCAATATCAATCGTGAGCACATCGCTGTAATTAATTTTGCTGTTGACTCTTTTCTACTGTTAAACATACACAGAGGCTTCAGAAAGCTACATTTAGCGTTACATATTAACTAATATCAATGGTGCATTACTAAACTACTAGTGTGTAACTTGTGTCACAACTAAGCTAAGTTTTAACTTACGCACAACTGGTGCAACCAGCCCTTGATTATCAATCCAATGCTCAAACAGCACAGAAATTATAGTAATAACACAAAATGAATTGCATGTGTGTGGAATATTGTTGAAAATGCTTTCTCAACAAATTCCACTATTTCCACTTTAAGGTTATGAAAATTCCCTTATTAAAATGTGCACAATCTGCCACAGACTTCTAAAAAGACACAAGCCACAAAATCCGCCATTTATCCAAGACTGAGATTGTAAAAAAAATTGCACAAATGTGCCCTTAAGGACAATGTTTGACAATAGAGTTCACCTGGGATATCGAGAG